CCAAGACAAATATTCTGAAGAATTTCTGCGCACCGAGCGATCCCTGGTGGAGCAGGAGCTACGAAAGCAACGGCGCGCACCCTCCGACATCAGTATCCGCGATCTGCTCGCAAAACCGGCCATGCTCGAAGCCGAGGATGACGAGGAGGAAGGCGCTGATGTCCGGATAAAGGAAACTCCCTCCGGAAAAGAGAAGGGTGCGCACAAAGAGCCTGTTGCTAGCAGATTGTAGTAAGGAGAGAAGTTTTCGAAATGAAAGGGCTGCCATCCCATATTACTATCCTTACGTCATCGGGCCACCATTCAAACTACCGGAGAAACGTTGTGTACAACCTGTTCCTCCTTTATCCTATATATGTTTCTTTTCCTGGATATTTCAAATGTTGCCATCCGCTCACGGTGTTTGCAGTGACAATATATCCCCAATATTGTTTTCTTTTTTGCACCCATCGAAGCTTTTGCTGTTACTAGGTTATAAGTTAAGAACTTCTCAGTCTGGGAACAATAGTAGCAGCGCGTCCGGATGGCAGAAAAAGATTGGAATTTATAAAGTGGGATTAGAGGGAAAAGTAATAGTTCGAGCGGAGTACAAAAAGGATGCTCCGTCATACGTTCAGATGAACTTCGTTAAAAGTAGCTGGCTAATTCGGAATCCTCCCGGTCTTCCTAATCTTGCTTAATCGAGCAAGAAGACCTATTATAGTAATGCGTATACTTTGCATTTGCGTTCGCTAAATTATAACCAGTTTAGGAAATGATGACTTGTACGACCATTTAACCAGCACACACGAAGCAAAACCGTCCAGAGTAAATGTGGTCTTCCGGCAAATACCAGAGAATCTAGAATTAGGATTAAGTTGAGAGCGAATGCTAAGGTTTAAGGTCAGAGTCGAGGTTAAGGTTAGAATTATAGTATACATTATGGTTTCAAACAAGTGTAGATAGTTGAATTTAATGAATTCAGCAACTGAATTCATATTACACGAAGGTATTTCAGCTGAATACCTTTGCTGTATGAGGTCCGTAACGGCTAGAAGCATACAGCAGAGTAAATTTTACAGAATGTCAATGTGTGGGTTGATTTAATGTAATTTCCTTCGGTTGTTCATTATTTACACTGAAATATGACCCTTGCTGTTAGATATTGACATTCTGTGAAATTCAATCTGCTGTATGTTTCTAACCGTTACCTGTCTCATGCAACGACGGGATGCAGTAGGAAAGCTATATTGAAATCCGTTGAATTCGATAAATTCTGCGGACTACGCTTGTTTTAAATTCACACCGGAGCGAACTGTGAACTGTAGGATTTAGGTGGGGGATCTGGCTAAGAATAGTGCTGCATGTTAGTTTAACGTTAGGATTATGAATAACTTCAAGGCAAAAAGATTTACTCTGCAAGGCCACCTTTTTAATTGAGCAGGTCTTCTTATGTCCGTGTCTGGTTTAGGCGGCCATACATGTCGTCCGTACCATAGTTTATTCCACATTTAAATTGCTTGCCTGATGCTTATGTTTTTATTTCACTTATTGCGCATTACAGGCTATAAGAGAGTATCTGATCGAAATACTCGTGGGAGAGAAATTTCATTGTGGGGAGTCATCTGCATGGCCTGGGGTTATTATGGTTGTTTTATTTACTGGTATGACTTGCTTTTAGTTGCTCATCTACAGATTTTCCGGATCAGTCTCCTCAGTATATGAAACCGGGTTAGCAGCATCTAAATTTAAATTGAGGTTGCACAAAATTCACTTTCATTATAACTTTTATATGAGTGCAACAATTCCAAGTTATTTTAAAGATCATGAAGTAATGAGTTTGCGGTAAGACACAAGAGAGTCGTTTGGCCCGATCTATTCTGATTAGTTGCTGTTTAGACGCTAGCAGTCGGCAATAAATCAACCAGTGAATAAATAAGACGCGTCGTCTGACACACAGGCATTCAAGCCGCGTATTTGTTATCAACGAGCAGAAGCACCTCAACCCGGATATCTGCAACCAAGATTTGAAACACGGGTTATTTTTTATCCGCCCGAGTCCAGAATCAAACTTTGAGTCCTCTTCCACAAAGGTTTGCGATATAAATGCCTAAGATGTCCAAAATTACATCGTCAAGGACTCACCTCCGAAAAAGCAACACCATAAGCAAAACAAGGTTGATCTCTTCTCTGTAAATATAGTCATTTCGAAAAAGCTGCAAAAATTGGTGATTAAGCGTGTTTTATATAAAAAGCATTTATTGATTGCTGCGAACAACCATG